GTTAGCTATCTATCTATCTATCTATATATATATATATATATGTGTGTTATCTATCTATCTATATATATATGTTATCTATCTATCTATATATATGTTATCTATCTATATATATATATATATGCTATCTATCTATATATATATATATATATATATATGTTATCTGTATATATATATCTCAAAAGCAAACATCAATAAGATTGTTACAGTTAATTATTATTAACATTCCTTATAGACATTTATGGCTCAAGTCATTTTTTTATTATTATTATTTTAAAACTGACCTTTAGGGATCTATATATATGTTAGCTATCTATCTATATATATGTTAGCTATCTATCTATATATATGTTAGCTATCTATCTATATATATGTTAGCTATCTATCTATATATATGTTAGCTATCTATCTATATATATGTTAGCTATCTATCTATATATATGTTAGCTATCTATCTATATATATGTTAGCTATCTATCTATCTATCTATATATATATATATATATGTGTGTTTTATCTATCTATCTATATATATGTTATCTATCTATCTATATATATATATATATATATGTTATCTATATATATATATATCTCAAAAGCAAACATCAATAAGATTGTTACAGTTAATTATTATTAACATTCCTTATAGACATTTATGGCTCAAGTCATTTTTTTATTATTATTATTTTACAACTGACCTTTAGGTCATACAAATTGTTGAGAAGAGCTACAGAAAGTGTTAAAGTTAATTTTGCAATTAGTTCAGTGGTAACTTACATTTTTCACAAAATAAAATCTAATAAACAAATTATTCATTAAAAAACTGCATTAAATAAACTCATAATCCAGTGCAGTATGAGTAAATCTTTAATGCATGCACTTAAACATTAAAAACATACTTTCAACTAAAACGTTATTGTTGTAGAAGGTAAGAAATGACAACAGAGCTCTATTCCCTTTCATTGATTTGACAAGTTGAATCAGTTATGAAGAAGAAAACAGAAAAGTGAAAAACAATTACCTTGGGTCTCCACAGACAGAGCACATGCGAGTCATGTATGTGATTTTTAGCAGATGTTACTGGTGACAAACTGCTATTTGCTTGTAACAGATAAATGGCACACGGCGTGATCAGTGCTGATGTGCGTGTAAGTGATGACCACGTTCCTGCAACATGCCTCTCTATAAAATCACTTAGCACTGGTCAAAATATAATACTAATCATCCAAAAAACATACTGTTTGTGCAGTTGTTCATTTAGATTTTGGATTATAAGCAGTCTTGCAATGTTTAGATGGTTGCATCGGCAAAGAAAAATCTTGTAAATATCCTGCACATTCAAAAGTGTATGTCGTTTGAGGGACTTGCATAACATTTGAAGTACTATATAACTTGCTTAAGTACAGACTAACAAAATTAGCCTTGTATACCGGACAAACATGGCAGTAATGTGTAGTCTTGAGTGAAAACCCCCTGTAGGGTTACCAGCGGCTGACATATAGAACCACGCGACTCTTCCGTGTGTGTTACTGACAGAAATGTGGACGCCAGTTTTGTCGCAGCGCTAAAAAGGTGTCCGTTTATGGACGTGCTGTCCACTGAGTCTATTTTAACCCATCAACATTCTCTGTTTTTGCACAACACTTTATGTGAGCATGTGAAAGGTGTTGCATTTAACCATTGTGTATTTCATATTACATTTTTGTATGTATATGTATATGTGTGTGTGTGTGTGTATATATATATATATATATATATACATACATACATACATACATGAATATTCTTTAAAACTTAGTTTATTTATCTGATGCTATGCAAAAACTTTTTAGCAGACATTATTCCGGTCTTTAGTGTGACATGTTTCAAAAGTCATTCTAATATTTTAATACTTTTTTTTCCTTAATTTTTCTTTGGTAAAGGGGTTTAGTAAATATATGAAATATTTGCAGTGGTGTGTTGTTTTGAGGAAAAAATATGAGAGAATTGATGTATTTAAGATTTTAGAAGTAAGTTTTCATTTACTTTCACTATACAAACATTAGCATTGTTTGAGACTAAAATGATTTGATCAGAAATACAAATAAATTTTAAATGGATAAAAAAAAGAATTTAAAATTAATATATTTTTGTATTCCTTTTTTTTTTTTCTTCTTTTTAGCAAATTCTGTTTGGGAACATTTTCAATCAAAAAGAATCCTTCAGTACCAAGCCAATGTTGTCACAATATAATTTTAAACGTGATTGTTACAATTTCGTGACATTGCTTGAAAAATCTCTGTCATACTAAGTCAGCTTAATTATTTAACAGTACTGTCCAGGTTGGCTCCTGCATTTAAACGCCGCAGTGCATTAAACCTTCAGCTGCCTGCGTGAAGCTTTTCACAGCCAGCGAAAGGTCGTGGGCTCTGACAGTGCGGTGAAAGATGGGGTATTTTTGATGGATCGTTTTTAAATAGCGCAGTGGGCCGCAGCATTAGGATTGGTATTGTCGGGATGTATCAGGACTGTTGTGTTGGCCTTTTTTCCTCTCGTCCGTCGCACTGTATCGCTCCCTCTCTTTTCCCATGTATCCCTCCTCAGCTGCTCTCTCTATATCACTCTGCCAGCCCAACCCAAAGGGGGAAGTTGCCTCGTACCCCCCGGAAAGTGAGGGCTGATGGGAGTCCCAGACGCCATTCTGGGTTACAGCGCTTCTGAGTTTTCCAGATACTGGTGTAAACTGTTGTGTGAATATGTCCCTGGAAAGGTACTTTGTTCGTTTTTGTTGTAGCATTTCACTTTTTTCTATAGCAATCTTGGTTTTTGGTGTTGTTTGACCATTAAACGGTTGAATCTAGATGTTTCAAACAATGTTATAGAGGGTGAAAGGTTTTAAACTTGGTTCTTAGTGAAGGCCTGAACGCCGTGTTGACCTTGGCTCTTCATAGCATGCGTGTTTGCTGGTATTACCAGGGATGCTTAAATCACAGCTGGGAAATATGTTGTGAATGTCTTTGTCCCTTCAGCTATTAAGACTACTGGCTATTCGGTTGCCTTTTGTCATTAGCTTCATGTGCATGCGGTTATGAAGCCGTATGGTAACACAATGCTGCATGGAAACACTTGTGTTTTGAGCTGTTTGATGTGTAGATGTGGCAGCATAGGCCTGTAAAGTTCTTAAATGGCAGGAAAGAGTTGAATGCGTGTGCTAAAGGCGGTCACCATGAGAATTTAAAGCAAGAAATGTTCCAGTCACACTTTATTTTAAGGTCCAATTCTCTGCATTAATAAACCATTAACTATGACTTTTGCCTCAATAAACTCCTAATTTGCTGCTTATTAATGGTTAGTAGGTAGTTAAGTTTTGGTATTGGGTATGTAGAATATGGTCATGCAGAATATGCGCTTTATAAGTACTAATAATCGGCTAATATGTTAATAATAGTATGCTAATAAGCAACTAGTTAATAGTGAGAATTGGTCCCTATACTAAAGTGTTACTAATGTTCCTTTTGTTGGTCCTGGAACAACAATTAAAGTCTTAAAGTGTTAAAGTCTTAACTATAAACTACCTGTAAATGTGAAAAATATGGACACATCAGGGCTGCGTTTCCCAAAAGCATCGTAAGATGAAGTTGATCGTAGCTCCATAGGTTTCAATGGGTCTACGATGTACTTAAGCTTACGATGCTTTTGGGAAACGCAGCCCTGAACTGACAGGAAGTGAAGTGGGAGAGAGAAAGAGGCGAGATCGGGAAAGGTCCTCGAGTCGGAATTCAAGCACGGGATGCCCGTAGCGTAATGGCCCTGTATGTCCGCGCTCTACCCACAAGGCTGTCGGTGCCGACAGTTTTATCTCTTTATATGTCATTTTTTAGACACTGGGCAACACTTTATGAATGTTGGGAATGACTTCCGATCATAAATTTGTTCCCGACTTCCACAAAGTGTTGTTTGATGCCTGGATGATGGCGTACTAACAAAGTCTCTTTCAAGAAAAGTCTGTTCACTCGGCGGCCATATTTGCAAAGCCTCCGGCCAGCTCATACAAGACCAAGTCCTATCTAAATGAATGGGGGAATCCTAAAATCTCAAAAACTGCTCGCTAAACTTGCAATTAAATTAAATTTTTCAAATCGGCAACAAAATCTGAAATGAACTGCCCCATGAATGTTGTTTTGTATACTCAAATAGTGTTAAAAACCCTTATTTTTCCGGCTAGACCAGCCAATGCGCATTTGCAGTAATAACGCGCTTAAGACTGCGCATGTGCATTGGCTGGTCTAGCCTCAGGTTTCTATGGGAACCGGAGCTTCTAGCGGCTGCAGTGATGCAATGACTTTACCAATCAACGATTGGCTCTTTAATTTAGAAAGCGGGTCTATTCT